GCATATTATGCACTAAAAGTAGGTAAGAGGTTATTGATTGAAGAAACATGTTTGAAAAACAATACGTTCAATTTCTAACACCTTTTTGCAATATCTCTTAAAGACAAAGTACAGAGTTTAAAAAATACAACTTTGCATTTTAAAACTTGTAATATTTGCATTTTCCTATGGGGATTTAGCAGGGGCAGGATGTCCTCAATCACAGTGTGAGGACGTCAAGCATCAGTTAGGCGGCGTTTGGTTGCCTAACCACCGGCAAGTCCCTCAGGACTTCTGAGAAACAATAATTTCACTTGCAAGGGTTAAGGGGACCTGGACACTGCACCCAGACCACCTCAATGAGCTGATGTGTCCTGGGTGCCTATAGTGTCCCTTTAAGCACACACTATGAGTCATACACTATGAGTAAGACACACACACATTCACTGACTGACACACAATGGCAGATGCACACTGACAGTCACACATACACAGACGTCACTGACAGACACACTCATTTACAGACACACACATCGACACACACTCATTAACAGACACACTGATAGTCACACATACTCAATGACCAACAGACTCTCACTGAATGGCACTGACCAAAGTATCCAATGATCTACTCGCTGCAAAATCTCGTGGTCACTACACTATCCTAATTCTCCTTGACCTGTCTGCGGCTTTTGACACTGTTGATCATCAACAGCTTCTTCTCATCCTCCGCAATATCGGTCTACAAGATACTGCTCTCTCCTGGTGCTCCTCCTACCTCTCCCAGTGCTCTTTCAGTGTTTCTTTCTCTGGCTCTGCTTCTTCTCCCCAACTCCTCTCTGTTGGTGTCCCCAAGGTTCAGTCCTTGGTCCCCTACTGTTCTCCATCTATACTGCCTCCCTTGGTAAACTCATTAGCTCCTTTGGCTTCCAATATCATTTCTATGCAGATGACACGCAAATCTACCTGTCCTCTCCTGATCTCTCCCCGTCCCTCTTGACTAGTGTCTCTGACTGCCTCTCTGCTGTTTCTAACTGGATGGCTGCCCACTTCCTTAAACTAAATTTGACCAAAACTGAAATTCTGGTATTTCCTCCCTCAAGTGTTGTTACTCCTGTGTCTGTCTCCCTCCAAGTCAACGGTGCAACCATCAGCTCCACCACGCAGGCTCGCTGCCTAGGTGTTCTCTTTGACTCCGACCTCTCCTTCAAGCCTCATGTTCAATCTATCGCCAAATCCTGTCATCGCCATCTCAAAAACATTGCGCGCATCCGCCCCTACATAACGCCAGATGCGACTAAGGTGTTGGTCCATTCCACTGTCCTTTCTCGCCTTGACTACTGTAATCGGCTTCTCAGTGGTCTTATGTGCTCCCAACTAGCGCCGTTACAGTCCATAATGAATGCGGCGGCGAGGCTCATCTTCCTGTCCGCCCGCAACTCCCATGCCTCACCCTTCTGTCAGTCCCTACATTGGCTTCCTATAAAATATAGAGCTCAATTTAAAATTCTGGTTCTTGCTCCCACCTATCTATCCTCCCTTATACACAAGTATGTCCTGTCTAGGCCCTTACGATCTGCTGAAGACTTACGTCTATCTTCTGTCCGTACTCCCACCTCTGATGCTCGCCTTCAAGATTTCTCGAGGGCTGCACCATTCCTGTGGAACTCACTTCCCTCCTCCGTTAGATGCTCACCCAGTCACAAATCATTAAAAACACACTTCTTCATAAAAGCATATCAATTAAACTGTTAATAGCTCCTCTTCTGCAGCTGTCATTAGTCTAATACTATCCTTACCTTTTTGTGTCATTTTTCCCCACTCCCTCTAGCATGTAAGCTCATTGAGCAGGGCCCTCAACCCCTCTGTTCCTGTTTGTCCAACTTGTCTGGTTACAAATACATGTCTGTTTGTCCACCCATTGTAAAGCGCTGCAGAATTTGATGTCGCTCTATAAATATCATAATAAGAATAATAATAATAATTTGACAAAAAAAATCACATACACATACACCTACACACACATACACTCATACACACACACACACACACCAATAAACGCATTCATACACACACATACACTCATACACACACACATACACTCATACACTCATACACACAAATATAAATATACAAATATAAATAAAAAAATTCCACCCAGCCTCCCTACCTGGAGAGCTGGCGTGGGTCTGTCGTTGGGGGTTCAGTGGGGCTGCTGGGAAGTGGACGGCTGTGTTAGAATCAGAGGCGGAGAGGAAGCTCTAATCTCTCTGCTCTGCTCCCTCACGCGCGTTTTGCTGATGCCGCCATGGCTGTAGTATAACGTCATTCCAGCTCCCAGCATCAGTAGACAGCCATCGAGGCACGAGGGAGCAGGGCAGGGAGATAACAGCTCCCTCGCTGCCTCTGATTCAAATGCAGCACTCACACACCCTCTATAACTGTACCTGTACTTGTAACTCTATTATTATATCTCTCCGACAACCCAGTCGTACATGTAAGGCACATTATAGGTGCTGAAAACATGTGCCCCTCTACGGGACATGCACCTGTAGGCAGCTGCCTAATTTACCTAATGGGAAATCCGACCCTGTGCTAATGGAAAAGTACTAGCCCAATCAACAAGAAGTTCTGCAGAAGCTCAAGGACCCTCATTTATTTGGATCCTTTCGAAAACAGTTTAACACTGAATACAGGGATTGCAGCAGGGGATTGGCATTGGGATTGACTTCAGCTGCCAAATTCACTGAAGCAAACCTGTACAATGACAGAAAAGTGAATGGGTCTCATCACATATCACATCTACTGTGACAGGATAAGCTGGCAACTCAAACATGCTATATGTAAGTACGTATTTAAATAAATAAACAAATAAATATTGTATGTCATAATGTATTTGCAACTCTTGTTCTGTGGGGGGTGGGGGGAGGGGGTTAGCCCTAAGAAAAAATACCATATTTTGATAGGAATAAAAACTGCTATTTGAAGGCCATAATTAAAATGGATGACCTGGTTGCTTACAGAAAAACTCCAAATCCCATTGAACTTATGGAAGTGCTTTAAGAGTTAAAAGCATGCCCCCTCTATCTATTTTATAAAAGTGTAAATTTCAAGAGAAATCAGCATTTTTATGAATTCCCTAAAATTCACCCTCCTGGTTGTCAGTCATTCAGGCAGGCAGCTGGGTGAGTTTTCTTCACTCAAGAAGAGCACTTCTTCAGATTGGAAGTGTGGGCCTCTCTTAGAGAAGCATTGTATCTGGTGCTCCTGTATGAGTGACATTCTATTGATGGAATGTGGTGATTGTCACTTATGCTCGACGAGAAGCATTGACTGGGCTTTGGGGGATCCTCACTAGTGTTGATCTCCGAGGGGCTTAGTAGAGGAACATTAAGAAGGCAGTCTTGCTGCTGATTTAGAGGTAAGTGTAAGGATACATACCCTTTTTCTGAGCCTGTCACCTCAACAAGTCGGCACCAAACAATCTTCTCCCTTTTGGCTCCTCTGCCAGCGTTTTCGACACCGAATGTTGCCCTCTTTTTATGATGCAAAGTACGTGCATCAATGTTATGATGTCAATGATGCGGAATTGCGCTTTCGATCTCTACTTCCATTTTGGACGTGTGGCTATCAAGTAGACCTAAATCTGTAAATACTTGAGTTTTGCATATGCTCAGTGCCCTGTTGTGGTTTCTTTGTGATCCCATTAGAGTGTTCGTACATATCTGTGTTTTCCTGGTTATCTATTTTGACTTGTTCTGATCTCTGTACTCCTTTACTTGGCTTGGCTTTTTGTTAGTATGTTTGTTTGTTTTTTGATTCCCTGAACTTGGACTTTTTCTCCTTGATTTTGATATTTTGCATTAAGCCAGGCCACTCTAAGGTATGGTCATATACCTTTACTTCACTCTTGATAGTGTAGGTTTAAGCTCTGCGTGCAAGGTTGACATACTTGATAGTAAGTGACTTGCTAGTTTGTAGAGGAATATATGTAGGAATATATTTATGTCTTATGTTGGAGTGTTACTTTAACAAATGCAAGCCTTCAGTGTTATGTAAAAGTTAAATAAGCAGGACATTCAATGCTCGCATAGCATCTTTATTGACCAGACTGTGATAAGTACTATCTACAACACTTGGACACAAAGCTGTGTATATATGTTACAAAGTTCACTGCCGTTTTTATCCATTTAAATTCTATGGAATTTTTAGTATCCATTGTGTTTTGCTGAATGAATCCATGTATTTCATTGTTCCTACACTGCTAGACAGGTGTCTGAACAATTCCATTTTCTGTTATCGACTTTTACCCATAAAGTGCAGTTTAATGAAGCCACACTGTGAAATTTCTCACACTATCTGGCAATCTAGACCTACCTTTCATAAAGCACAATGAGATGATTCATGTTAAACTGGGCAGTAAATGAATTCCATTAAAAAAAAAAAAACTGTCTGGAACAAAAATGTTACGAATTGTTAAATTTATACGGCACTTGTAAAAATAAAATAAAAAAAATCACACTTTACTAGAACATATCAGCTGGGGCTTAAAAATATAGATCGTGAGCATTAAAATGATTTCAGATTTGGCAGGTCTTATTGCATATGAGTGTCAGATTCCAAGATATTATTTAAGCATTCATTAGCACTTCTTGCATAATCTATGGTGTTTTCTTTCATTTATTTGCATCGCAAATAAATAGCGGAATAGTATCATAATGAGTCACTGTAGTGTGTTATGTGAGCTTTGATATTAGAATGTATTCATTCATCTTTATTGCCAAACAGCACTTATTGGTCTACAGTATAGGGACCAGGACCAGATGATTATAAATGGAAAAAAAACCATAAATAATGTAATGATATCTTTAAGCAAACTTCTTACCTCTAATTGTAATTGCTATGCCCAATATGCCATTACCAGGGTTCTACAGACCTACTTATCGTGAAAATATAGGGCATACCTTGCTGTCATATAAATCTGATTGTAATTATAAGTCAGGGGTCCTCAAACTCCGGCCTCCCAGATGTTGCTGAAATACAAGTCCCTTGATTCTCTGGTTATCTATGTAATTCAAAGAATCATGGGAGTTGTACTTCAGCAACATTTGGGGGGCCGGAGTTTGAGGACCCCTGTTATAAGTCATCACTGAAATTAAAGGATCAATCCACATCCTTAAAGCACTTCAGCTTGCTGAAGATCTTTATGAGTGGGGAGTATCAAGTTTTCAGAAGCACTTTATAAATGTGCCGGTTTCTAAGAGAAATAGGCACTTTTAATACTAAATAATGAATCACACCCCTGGCCAAGGAGGCTTGCTTGCTGCTTCCGTTAGTTCCTTTTGCATACCTCTTCTCAGACCTCAGATCAGCCTAGCATTCTTTCTAAACTCTGTGCACAGTGTGTGTACTCGAGCAAGTGTGAGTGTGTGTTCCCTGTGAAGAGACTGAAAGACTCTTCCGGGGAAGAGGGGAGAGCTTGCAAAGTCTGCAGTTCGTAAGTATTTCAGCCTTGGCAAGCTCTGTTAAGTTATGCCACCAATGAATACAAGCATGAAAAATGCATATATGTATTATTTGGGGGTGTATCTACTAAATAGTGATTTATTTTTTAATTTATTTTTTAATGATTTGAAGTATAGAGTGGTCCTTTAAGGATGGTCTTTCTCTTCCATAATAATATTAATAAAATCCATTTTGGCCACTAATATAAGCATGTTTACCTTAAATGACCACTATAGGCACCCAGACCACTTCAGCTTAATGAAGTGGTCTGGGTGCAAGGTCCACCTAGGATTAACCCTTCCTGCTGTAAACATACCAGTTTCAGAGAAACTGCTATGTTTACCTATGGGTTAATCCAGCCTCTAGTGGCTGTCTCATTGACAGCCGCTAGAGGCGCTTCCGTGCTTCTCACTGTGATTTTCACAGTGAGAAGACGCCAGCGTCCATAGGAAAGCGCATTAAGCCAATAACAGGGAAAGGAGGAGAAGAGGGAGCCCAGTGCTGGAGAAAAGTAAGTGTTTAACCCCTTCCTCTCCATCCAGCCCGGCGGGAGTGGGACCCTGAGGGTGAGGGCACTATAGTGCCAGGAAAACGAGTACTGTATATACTCGAGTATAAGCCGACCCGAATATAAGCCTTAAATTTCTAAATAAAATTAGATCCCAATAAAATTACATTAATTTAATATTTATTTACAGTGTGTGTATAGAATGAATGCAGAGTGTGTGTTTGTGTGTATATAATGAAAGCAGAGTGTGTTTGTGTGTGTATATATAATGAATGCAGTGTGTGTGTGTTTGTGTGTTGTGTATATAATGCAGTGTGTATATATAAATCAGTGTGTGTGTTTGTGCAGTGTGTGTAAACTGGATCATGGGGGGGGGCATTTTTATTTGAATTTTTTTATTTTAATATTATTATTTTATTATTATATTATTATTTTAATATTATATTATTTTAATAATATTATTATTATTATTTTAATGTTTTTTTTGTCCCCCCCTCCCTGCTTGTTGCCTGGTCAGGGAGGCGGGACAAAAAAATAAAAATAAAAATATAATGCAAATGATAAAATAATAATAATATATTAATAAAATAATATTATTAAAATAATATTATTAAAATAATATAATATTAAAATAATAATATTATTTTATTATTATATTATTATTTTAATATTTGCATTATTTTTTTTTAATGTTTTTTTGTCCCCCCTCCCTGCTTGTTGCCTGGTCAGGGAGGGGGGACAAAAAAATAATAATGCAAATATTAAAATAATAATAATATAATAATAAAATAATATTATTAAAATAATATAATATTAAAATAATAATATTATTTTATTATTATATTATTATTTTAATATTTGCATTATTTATTTTTTTTTTAAATTTTGTCCCCCCTCCCTGACAAAAAAACATTTAAAAAAAATAATGCAAATATTAAAATAATAATATAATAATAAAATAATATTATTTTAATAATATTATTTTATTATTATTAAAAGAAAATATTAAATCCCTGGTGGTCCAGTGGCATTGGCAGTTCAGTGGGGGGGCTGACAGTGAGTTCTTACTTACCTTCCTGCAGCTCCTGTCAGCTCCCTTCTCCTCCGTGCAGCTCCCCGGTCAGCTCCGTTCTGCTTACAGTGTAAATCTCACAAGACCCAGTCTCGCGAGATTTACACTGTAAGCAGAACGGAGCTGACTGGGGAGCTGCACGGAGGAGAAGGGAGCTGACAGGAGCTGCAGGAAGGTAAGTAACAGCTCACTGTCAGCCCCCAACAGGACCACCGGGCTTGTAATGAGCCCGGCGGTCCTGGCCTGTATTGTGGCAATGTAAGTTGCCACAATACAGACTGACTCGAGTATAAGCCGAGTTGGGGTTTTTCAGCACAAATAATGTGCCGAAAAACTCGGCTTATACTCGAGTATATACGGTATGTTTTCCTGGCACTATAGTTGTCCTTTAACTCAGGCAATGCTTCAACGCTGTTCGAATAAGCACACCTGGTTTATTCTGTAAAGTACAGCTTTTTCCCTTCCACCATGATTCCAGACCAGTTCTGTTAACGCTATTTAGGGTTATACACTAAATTAAGTGTATTCCAAGAGAATTTAAAGTGAGTTTCAAATTTAAGGTCAGAATAAATTATCTAAGTCAGTTAAACTTCCAGCCCAGTTACTCTGGCCTTAATATTGAAATTTCCTTTGAATTCTCACTTTAGTGAAAAAAAAAACCTGAAGAGTTGTCTTCAGGCCAATGTTCTGTGAATTCTACTTTTTTTAGTGTTTTTTTTGTGTTCCTTAATGAGTTACACTAAGCTTTCATTTGTGGTTCATGACTGCCTGTATAAACACACTCCAGTTCTGTTATAGTTCCGGGAAACCTTGCATACTCGAGTCTACTTCTACATCTATTAGCATTAAGCTGACCTTCACAGATTCTAAGTTTAAAATGAGAGATTAGTAAATAACCATGTATATGGTTTCATAATGTGAGAATTGTCCTGAATTAAAAGGGAATTTTCAAATTTAAGCTCAAAGTAGCGAAGCTGGATTGAATTTTCGGCTGAAATATAAATGTATTTTGTATTTATCATTAAACTTTCAAAAAAAACACAAAAAAAAAAAACCTTTTCAATTAAAGTCAAATATTCATTATTTTATTTTGTACATTTTGTCATAAAATATTTTATAGTGAGCTAAAGTTTTGGGGTTTTTTTATACTAAAAATATAAATTCTTCAATGTCTGAAGAATGTCATATATATTTACAATGTTATTCACTAAAGTGAAAATTCAAAGTGAATTTAAAGGGACACTATAGTCACCATAACAACTTTAGCTTAATGAAGCAGTGTTAGTGTATAGTTCATGTATATGCAGTTTCACTGCTCAATTATCTGCCATTTAGGAGTTAATTCACTTTGTCTATGACGCCCTGGCCACACCTCCTCGTCTAATATCTACACAGCCTCTCTATAAACTTCCTGAAAAAATATTCTCATAGTCCTAATCTTATATTCTCTATTTTCTTCCTGAAAAGTGGCCTTATTTTTTTAGGTTCCCATATTGCACAGTGTGTAATTTTGAATTTCTTATCTCCTGCTCTTCTTTTAATAGCCTTATAGAGATTGCAACATCCTCATGTATGTGATTACAGTGCAATTAACAGATAGGAAGATAGCAACTTCTAAAGTAAACACACTGCTCTAAGGGTCATGCAGACTTTTTCAGTCACAGCCATGGGAGGTGTGGCTAGGGCTGCCCAAGCAGAAGCAAAAAGTGATTTAACTCCTATATGGCAGAGAATTGGGCAGTGAGACGGCAGGGGGCATGATCTATACACCAAAACTGCTAAATTCAGCTAAAGTTGTGGTGATTAAAGTTAAAGTATCTCTTTAAAGGGACACTAAAAGCACCCATACCACTTTATCACAATGAAGTGGTCTATGTGCAATGCTCCTTAACACTGCAGTGTAAAGCATTCTAGTTGGGTAGAAACACCAATGTTTTAATTGTTGATGATCAATATTTTAATTGTTGATGTGGCGAGCCCAGCCCAACCTGGAATATGAGGTAAGTAAATCTTCATGTTTAAGCCTTGCAGGGCGCCAATAATCCAAATAGGATTCACTTTGAATTCTCACTTTTGGTAAATAACCCTGATTGCATCTGCAATATACTGATATGTTTGTGATTTGCATGAACCCACTCTATCTGTTTATTTAACAGAAGGATATTAGGAAGATATTTGGGATTCTAGCAGAAAAAAAAAAAAAACAGATGGTTTTCTACACAATCCAAGTCTGTATTAGGAACGAATGAGTCACAGCCCAAGATTAGGATAGATGACTGCATCAAAAACAACCTCACAGGTGCCAGACTAAATTTAAATGAAAATAATTTCTTTACGCCCACCTAAGGCTATTAAGAAATGAGCATATGTAAAGGATGCATATTCCATTTTGCATTAAAGGAAAATGGTTTTCTTGTTAGAATGCATTGAACTTTCTTCTAAGAGGTTAATGTTGCATAATTTGCATTGAATACGCTTTTTAGGTAACGCCAGCATTTTATTCAGAAAACTGTGAGCAATTAGCTACTGTAATTTTATCTTAATTGTTCATTTGTATGGGATATTATATAAAGTGGTGAAAAAAAAATAAAAGTTAGCCAGGTGTAAAAGTAGAAAGTGAAGACAGGAGTGATTGTGAGTTATTCAAACACACAGATTCCACTGATGTTGTGCGATGCTTAGTACTTTCCAATGATACATGGTATTTATTTTTTCAAACATTCAGTTGGTACACCTGAAGAAAGTGTGTTAGCCACCCTTCTCTCCACTTGTCCTGGTTGGTCTTACCTCTTTCTGAATTTGTAGTGCATAATTGATTGATTTATGTTAAAATGTGGCTTGTGTTCCTGATTGTTCTGTTATACTCCTGACCCATCTCATTTTTGATCATCATTAGCCTGCTCACTGAGGGCAGGACATGAAGGGAGCACTGTTTTCAGTACTCTCTGCAGGGTCCTGGTGCTCTGAACATAGCGTGGGCATGTGTAATGATGCGCTCATGCAATGATTGTTGGGAACAGTTTCCTAGT